CTCTCCTTGCAGCCACGTGCTGGGTTGGCATGTTTGTAATTCATAGTTGTTAACTATTATTTTATCTTGATCTCCCTGTGTTTGGGAATTGGTGCAGTGTGGCTAACAGTAAGCAGTAAGACCCCAAAGCTTGTAGGAACAAACTTAATTGCACTTGGGGTTTGCTACAGAATAAAGTATATTCATGGGCTTATAGACTCATAAACTAAACCAGGAAGAAAATTTTATAGATACAGAAATAAAGCACTGATTCCCTGAGAGCCTCAGGCTATCAATACCTGCATCTTTGTAGGAACAAACAATAAGTTAGACTATGTGCCAAGACAAAAAATTGCAATGAATTACTACTTTCTTTTCATGACAGCCAAGAGAACCTTTGGATAATGTATGGATTTGGGCTGCTAGAGGCATCTTCAGGGAACAGCTTATGTAACTACTGGTAACACCATCACTCACACAGTGCAGGAGTTTGAGTGAGTTACTAGGATAGATCCCAAAAAGCTGGGACCTCAAGTTCAAGCAGATATTGATACTTGTTCTGTTGAAACTAGGACATATTAGAGGTGGTTTGTTTTCTCTCTCCTCACAAGAAGTCTTCTGTTGCTTTTTTTCTTGCAGGAAGACAAGGCTATGTGAGCTCTATGCAAAGGTTCTGGGATCAGAGGAAGCCTTACATGTAAGCACAAAATCTAAACTGTGTCGTCTCTTGGCAGGTTTGTTTAGCTGGAGAAGGGCAGAATGAAACCAGAATTGCAGTAGTGCTTTGGCACAGTGCTGCGTAACCTCATGGAGAAGGTACATGATATTGGCATAGAGAGAAAGTTACAGCAAGTCTTAGGTTAAGTTTGATGGTGAGGATAAGAATGAGCTTATGAAACAGTAAAAGGCAGACAGGTTCTTGTCCATCTTCATGGGTGACATCCACAGTGCTTACCATCATATCTCAACTGTTTTCAGATGTGACAGGCCTGCCTTTCCCACTCAGTCTGTGCTGAGCATAATGTTTCTCCTCTCTTGCTAGTTGCTAAGACCTATTGCTGCACGTTAATTGCTGCATTAAATCCAGTTGGTGACCAGTCATGAGCGGTGTCCCTCAGGGCTCAGTTTTGGGTCCAGTCTTTTTTAATATCTTTATCAAGAACTGGATGATGGGGATCAAGTGCACCCTCAGTAAATTTGCAGATAACACGAAATTAAGCGGAGGTGTTGATCTCCTTGAGGGTAGGAAGGCTCTGCAGAGGGATCTGCACAGGCCGGAGCAATGGGCTGAGGTCAGTTGTATGAGGTTTAACAAGACCAAGTGCCAGGTCCTGCACTTGGGTCACAACAACCCCAGGCAACACTCCAGGCTTGGGGAGGAGTGGCTGGAAAGCTGCCTGGTGGAAAAGGACCTGGGGCTGTTGGTGGACAGCTGACTGAACATGAGCCAGCAGTGTGTCCAGGTGGCCAAGAAGGCCAACAGCATCCTGGCCTGTATCAGAAACGGTGTGACCAGCAGGAGTAGGGAGGTGATCGTGCCCCTGTACTCTGCACTGGTGAGACCACACCTTGAGTACTGTGTCCAGCTTTGGGCACCACAGGATGAGAAGCACATGGAAGTGCTGGAGCGGGTCCAGAGAAGGGCGACAAAGATGGTGAGAGGGCTGGAAAACATGCCTTATGAGGGCTGGATGAGGGAGCTGGGGTTGTTTAGCCTAGAGGAGAGGAGACTGATAGAGAACCTTTTTGCTCTCTACAACTACCTAAAAGGAGGTTGTAGTGAGGCTGGTGTTGTTCTGTTCTCCCAAATTACTGATGATAAGACAAGAGGAAATAGCCTCAAGTTGCACCAGGGGAGGTTTTGGTTAGATGTTAAAAAGAAATTCTTCACTGAGAGAGGAGTTAGGCACTGGAAAGGACTGCCCAGGGAGATGGTGAGATGTAGCACTTGAGGCTATGGTCTAGTGGTTAGGGAAATGTTGGGATGAAGGTTGGACTTGATGATCCTAGAGGTCCGTTCCAACCATAATGTTTCTCATAGAAACTATGTTTGGGTTTGGTTGTAGTTTTTTCCTTTCCCTTGCCCTATCTCCCACGTAATAATAAACAACTGATAGAATTTGTGTGATCTCACACTTAGTTTCTGTGATCAACACCATTTTTCCTTTAAGGGCAATTTTAGATGAGTTAAGTGTTCCAGGCATCAGTTTCGAGATTACATAATTTTAAGCACAGTGCTATTATTTGCAGAACTGTGTAAGAACCATACTTTGCATTTTTAACAGTATATATTTGTATCTAATGTGCATGTTACAAGTGTTACACCTATGTACACCAGAGGTAAATTTTGCTTTATGTGGCTCAAAGCATAAAATGGTGCTCAAAACAGATTTACTTTGACAGATTAAGAGGATTATGTTTTACACTGGCCAGATTGGCTTGTTTTTTAAAAAATAGCAAGCAGTGTCTAAAATTAAGGCTTATTGTGTTGAACCCATGTTGCATTAAGTGACTTGTTAAATGTGCTTGTCTTGTCAGACGTTAACATGCAACAAATCATAAGCTATTCTTCTCTGCTGTCTCCTCAGTTCTTTGATTAGCTTCCTTGAGACTGTCCTTTCCTTGAGTGAATTGATCTCTGTTTTACAGCCAGTGCATTATGAAGAGAAGAACTGGTGTGAAGAGCAGTATTCTGGGGGATGCTACACAGCCTACTTCCCACCAGGCATAATGACCCAGTATGGAAGGTACAGTGTTTATTTATAGTGGGCTTCAGTGTAGTAAGATAAGACCAAGTTAATAAATATCCTCAGAAGGGATCATAAATCCTCTGTCACTGTTTGCTTTATACAGCTATTATAACCTTCCACTTGTCTCAGTTGGGCTTTATGATGGATGAGTACAGTATCATTAGGGGGTTTTATTCACATTTTTTATGCAGTGAATTCAGCTGAGTCGGTTCTTGGAAAGGAGTTGGGAAGATTGTGTAAACACAGTCTGTTTACAGAACTGACTTTGAGTATTTGAGATCGGTGTTACCATTTCCAGCACATCTTTAGCTGGAATTTTATAAATGCAGGCAGAGAGTTAATTCTTGCCAACAGTGACAGTAATGAGTGATTTTTTTGGACTTGTCCATTCCTTTGGCAGTTGAGACTTAATATAGTAATCAGCATGCTTTTTATACATAGTCCTCTCCAATGTAAGTTTTTGAAAATAAGGTTTACCAAAAAGAAAAAAGGCTTAATGGTCAGACCAGTGTTTGGATTCAGATACCTAATTTTTAATGTGGTGGCATATCCCTGTTTTTGTAGTATAAGTTTTCACAATTTAAAAATAACTTAGAGCAATAAAGCAGTTGTAATGAAGAATGTATAGAGGCCTCAGTGTTGTGATTTTAATGGTAATTATTGCAAATTCTGGCAAGAATCAAGTAAAAGAAAAATTAAATCCTTTTAATTTTTTTTTCTTTATTTGCATGTTATTTTAGATATCATGGGGATGTACTTCAGAATGCTACACTGTGCCAGTGATGTCTGGCATTGTTATTTATGATAATGGCTAAGGTCATGAGATGTAATAAGTCTCATCTCATATCAATTGTCCTTTACACCTATGAGCATTGTAAACATTTAGGAAATAAGAATGCTGGTGTGTTTACTGTAAGAAATGAAATGCAAAGCAGATACTCCCTGCAACTCAGTTCGCTCAAAGTTACTATCTTTAAGTGCTTGCTGTTATTTAAAACACTTTTATTCTAATATTAATCCAAAGGTTTCGGTTACCTTTCCCTATATGGCTGATGTGACTTACTGCTTGTCCCCCTCCAGGATTATTCGGCAGCCTGTGGGCAGGATCTATTTTGCTGGCACAGAGACGGCCACAGAGTGGAGTGGATACATGGAGGGGGCTGTACAGGCTGGAGAAAGAGCAGCCAGAGAGGTACAGACGCAAGCCCAAAACAGAGAGCCCTCTCAAATAACCTATGAAAATGAAAGATCTTCTGCTTGGAGTTGAAATGGGAATTGAGTGTTGACAGTGTCTGGTGTTCTGAAGTCTTGATGCAAATCCCTGCAAAGGGGATAGATGTCAAAAAGGATGAAGGTTTTACACTTAGATTTGGAATGCATAGGAAGAGCTCTGACTACTTCATCAAATTCTTCTCTGTTTCCAGGAATAAAATCCTTTCTTCTTTAGAGAAATGTCAAATTCTCACCTAGACGTTTTTTCTTCTCCCAGATGAACACTTTGTTAATCATCGTACTGGGAGATCCTGACCATTGGCCTCACTAGGAACAGCTCAGTTCTGCAGCTCTGCACAGAACCGAGCCCCTTCCTCAGCTGTTTCAAACAATACCGTTGAGACTGTAATATACCATTGTGACAGCCTTATGTGAAGTTGTTAACCAAGGACTTAAATATTTGCTTCTGAGAAAATGCCAATTCCTCAGTTCTTGTCAGGAATATTACAGTTTGTGGAGCAGCAAAATAAATTTCATCTTTTTTTTATGAGGTGAAGGGAACCTTATGGCTAAAAACTACAGTTGTGGAAAAGAAATTGGCCTGGAAGGGATCTGGAGAGTTCTTCTAGCCCATATCCCTGCCCCAAAAGACAGGTATCGATTGTCCCTAAACTGTCCTATTTGTGAAGGTGATACCTACCCTGTTCCTGAAAACCTCCAGAGGCAGTGCTTCGATACTTCTCTGATATAAGAACTTTACAACAGAGCCTCCATAGGCCTCAGCAGAGAAGTTGACAAATGAGCTTGACTGGTCAAAAATTTTGTGTTTTCCTTTCCTCATTTACTTGTGAAAGGAAAGTATGTTTAAAATCTAGTGCAAGAGTGTTTCTCATTCTCCTGTACTGGAAAGTTCTTGGGGTCCATGAATCTTCTCTAGAATAAAAGCTCATTGGAAAAGATGGCAAATCTTAAATCTACAAGTGCCTGGAATAGGAAAAACATTAATATCACCCCCTCCATTTCATTTTACTGTAGAAGTTGTTCATCTTGCTGTCTTTCATGGCTCTCATCTCAGGTAATATTTGCTATTATACTGTTCTTTGGTTCCTTTGATACTTTGGACGGTTATTTTTCCATTGCAAGGGTTTTTGTTTTTTTTTTTTTTTCAGCCTTGATTTTCTTTTGCTGAAAGTAGTGGTCTGTCATCACTCACAGGATTCTGTTCCTGCATCATGGTAAAATTTGCAAAACAAGTTACTCCTGGCTGTAGAGCTTGCCCATGCACTAGCTGGTTTATGCAAGCCTGACTTCACCATGAGTGTGTAATTAACCCTTAGTCATATTGGTATTATCCTGTTCCCATAGGACTAGTTAAGTTATGATATCACACATAGACTAAGCAAGCATAGAGAGGTTTTCTGGTATTGATTTTATTTTCCCCTAGGAGGAGAGTCTTATTCCCAGAATAATCATTCCCTCCCAGAAATTAGTTGTACAAAGGTCAAGTTTTCTTCTAAAATTCGAATACACTATGATTTATGTGCTGAATTATTTTTCATCATGCCATTTTAAAACAAAAATTGAAGCCAGCTCTTTTTCCCTTTTAAATAGTGAACGGTGCTTACTAGAGAATGTTATTTATTTTCAGATCCTCTTTGCTATGAAGAAGATCCCAGACAGTGAAATTTGGAAGCCAGAACCTGAATCAATTGTAAGTCTTCCTGTAGAATAAGTGAATTATTTTTTCCCTGTGGTTTTGCTGACGAGATGAAATTTTATTGGCTGTTTTTACTTAAGTTCACTAAATCAAAATGACAATAAACTTTCCCTTACTTACCAAAACTGCCCTTCCCTAAAGAGGAACATGGCATAAACTCAAGAGAGGGCACCCATCTGACAACTCTGTCATGTGGGATCAGGAAGAACTGCACTTTTTAACTGTACTCTCTTGATTTATGTCCTGCCTCTCACAGTGGAGGTGATGTTATGTTGACAATGAATGCTCTCCTTGCAGGATGTTCCAGCTTTGCCCATCACTACAAGCTTCTGGGAGAGGAACTTGCCATCTGTGCCAGGACTGCTAAAGCTGATTGGATTTTCCACTTTCTTCACCTCTGTGGCAGTGGCTGGATTATTTGCCTACAGAAAGGGACTTCTAGTTCGAAACTGAAAAAGGTGCCAACACAGAGCCTTTTCTCTCCTTTTTTTTTTTTTTTTGAGAGTTTGTGTTTGATAGTTTGTGGGTGTGGTGGTTTGTTTTGTTTTGTTGGTACTTCCCCGTCTCCAAAATCAGATCAGGACTGGGGAAGAGGAGAAAACAGCAGAGACTGGAGAGGAGGGATAGAGGAAGGGAATACATATTGAAAAAAAAACCCTTGAGTCTAGGTTTCCTTTCTAGCAGTGATGTTTTGGTTGTTGAGTTTCTACGATACCCTGCCAAGGGTTACTACCTTGAGTTTTGATCCAGATCTCAAAACAGAAGTGATGAAATATGTCTATAAAGCTTGTTCTGATGAGATTTCCACTTGTTCTTACATCTGAACCAAACCCTGAACTCTGAAGTCTTCACAGGCACTTCCATCTCTAGTTGTAAACAAAGGATTTCTGCCTTCCTGGTGATAGACTGAGAAAATAAATCTATAGCTTAAGAAATAACTGACTAGTTCATGGAAATTGCTGGTAAGGATCTCTTTAGTGGTTTAATTTTTCACCCAGATGTCCAGAGCCTAAGCAGCACTTATAAGGGACAAGTCAGGCTAAATTCTTCCATCTGATCTGCACAAGTCTGTCAATAGGTTGTTGGGATTTCCAGTGTCATATTTGTCAAAAGCAGTAAAAACATTGTCCTTTAACTTGCTATAGGACCATGTGGTTGAATTTCAGGCTCCCCAGCTGTGTTCACACTGCCTGGAATGGCAGAGGTTTTGTATCCCAGTCAAGTCTCTCCCTGTGCGAGGTGAGATCTCCTCTGCCTAGAAAACTGGCAGGCTCCAGGCTACAGCAGTATGGCAGATCAGGCTATCTGATCTGAGTGTGAAGGGGGAACCTTGTGCTCATGTACAGACACAGCCTTTTAAACCTTTTTCACGCTGTCTGACATCTTTTTGCCTTCAAGGTCCTCTTTTAGCTCTCTTAAGTTGCTGCAAGATAGCAAGAGAACAAATTAACCTCTGCCTACCCCAGGAAGTTGTAAAGCTGTCCATAAAAACCTTTTTTTTAATTTCCTTTCTTTCATCTACTTGAAATTATACTTTGAACACCCTGAGGCTGTCACTTGCCTGGTAGGGCATAATGTCCTTGAAAATGTAGTGTTAGTTTTAAAAAATAAAAAAAAAAAACAAAAACCAAAACCCAAAACAAAACAGCTTAACTGCCCCCTAACACTTGCTTTATGCTGAACATAGTTTAGCTGATCCAGAGCTTCAGTCTCTCCTAACAGCCATATTGATGGGATTAGTACTTCCACTTCAGCCTGCTGTGCTGTGTTGTGTTGACTGTGCACTTTTGGTAACTAATCAAGGATCTAAATGATAGAGAGATTAAAGAGAACCATGGATAGGAGAGTCACGTGCTAGTGCTTCTGCCCTCCATAGCTTGGTACATTTCAAAAACAAAAAATTAAAAAAAAAAAAAAGAAAAAACACCCCCTCCCAAAAATCCCAAACACCTAAATTTTAGGTGGCTACTTGTTGATGTGACAGTACCTTGTTGTCGGCATTTCTGCTAGTTCACATCTGCACAACACAAAACCAGGAAGACGTGGGTATAGCCGAGAACAGGATTCAGTGCACACCAAGTTTGAGATGTCTGGAATTTTTCTGAACCTGTTTGCTGCGATTCTTCATTCAACCAGTGCCAATTTGCATATAAAAAATATTCCATTGCAGTAAAAAGCCATGGAGGGAAGTATGACATATTCAGCAACTGGTGTGAGCAGACGACGGATGAACAGTATCACTGGTCTCAGGCAGACTTTTTGGGTTAGCATCTGATCTTGCTTTTGCAGAGTAGTGCTTCGTTCTCCAAATAGTCCCGTGGAAATCCACTGAACTACTTATAAAGCTGTAATATTTGTGAGCAGTGCAGCAGTTTCTGGCCCTTAGGTTTCATTCTTTTTAACTTGATGTGCCAGTTAAAAATCTTGTAATGGCAGCTTGGATTTTATCACAAATGAATATCCTCATAACAGCCTTTTAAAATGCATAGGGGAACTTTTCAGGCATAAAGATCTTTAAGTCAGAAGAACAGTGCAGCAGTGCACATATGGCCTTTCTCATTGCATCACATAGATCACTAATTGACTGGGACATTTGCCTACTGCTGAGTGCTTCTACATGGCTTTCTCTGTGTGATTTATTTACTAAATGATTAAGGAACAGAAAGCTGAATAGGAACTGTGTAAGTCAAGAGCTTTTGCAACTTGGACAGTTCTCAGGTTAGAAATAAGCATCGTAACCTAAACTTAGGAAGACATTTTTAAAGTCTTGGCCCAATATTTGTAATGGCTAGATGGTAAATACATACTTAACATATAAAGAACTGCTGCATTTGAAGATGATTTCTCTGCCAATATTGTTTAGATTTCAAATCTTGCCTATGTCCAAGAAATACTCCTCAGATCTCTAAAGGGGAGCAGATCCATGACACTTATGAGAATAAACTGGTCTTATTCACATCTAAAATGTATCTCTCTTCTTTGCTCCTGAATCTGGCAGAGGTTTTTCCCAGTCTAACAAAGTGTTGTGTGCCACAGGAAAATTCAAAGAAAAACAGAAGTTGGGTATAGTCAGAACTGAACTGAATTATAACCAAAGCTTTTAATGAGAATGGTAATTTAAAAAAAAAAAAATACTTTTTTTTTAATAGTCATAGACCTCCCTTAGTCTTAGTTTCAAAGTCGAAAAACAAAAAATGGGGAAAAAGAACCCCGAACAAACAAAAACAACCAACCAACCACTAAGCATTTCTCATTTTGTTCTACCTCAACTGAAAGTAGATGCAACTTTAAATCTCAGATTTAATTCATATCCTCTGAGATTTCTAGTCAAATCTGGTGGAGCTGAGAAGTCTGAGTAGCAACATCTATATTAGCACTCAAAAGTCTCTTGTCTTGTTCCTTCCAGACTGCCAAATCATTAAGAATGCTGCGTCTTGCTACGATTATGCTGTGGAGCTTATCACCATGTGGGATTAAAAAGAAGGATTTGCTGCTGTTTCCTTGACATCTTCCACATAAAAGGAATATGTGGCACTTTGTGTATGTGGGTGTCAGTGTGATGAGAAGATTGACAAATGTAGGTGGAGAATCAAGTTGCTTCCCCACGGGTAGAGGGAAGTGTGATCATTGGTTTATATTTTTAAAATTCCTTTGTGCCAACCCTTCAAAGAGAGGAATCAAGTCTGGTTTAACTGGTAACTAGTTGTGCTCTATTCTTAATTTATTAACAAGTTTGACGAGAATTCTCCTATCATGAATATTCCAGCAGTTTACCAGCTTAGTAAAATGTATTATAGGAATAACCATGGAAATAACTGTATTGGTCTCTTATGAACTGATTTGTGTTATCATGCATATTTTGCAAAGCTCTTAAGAATGTGCAAAAAAAGAGGTTTACTTGATTGTACACTGTTCTGATAGCAACTGTATATTGCAAAGGATGTTGGGTCATGGTATGAAGATCTGCATTAACCAATCTCAGTGCAGATCTTGATTCCAAATAGCACATCTGCTGTCAATACAACAGAGGCATTAATCACAATTAATTATGCCTGAGCATTGTCCATCACTGGAACCCAAGGCCTGGAGGAGAAGCTAGGGAATTCTATTAAAATAATCTTCCTGTGTCCTCAGTGAGACTATTGTTTCCCTGAGGCAGAATTTACAGGAGCGCAGAAATTTAAAGTTTTGTTTTTGTTTTTGTTTTTTTTTAAGATCTAAAAAACTGTTTTTGAGGAAGAAGGAATTCTATATCCTCCAAAAGTACTTGGGTGCAAAATGGAGCCAGGGTTACATGACAATAGATTTGCCACTGTTCTCAGGCAAGAAGCAAACCCATGTAAATCACAGATTACAAATAGAAGCAAACCTGACCTGGGTTTAAATGGACTAACATTCCCTCTCCCATCTCCACCACCTTGAGACCACCTTGATCTTACAATCTATTCTTCAATAGAGATAAAAATGAGATGGCCGAAGCAGTTTTGCTTTCAGAGTATCTCTACAGTCAAATCGTTTAGGCATTGTCATAGACTGCAGCTTATAGCGTGTCTCCTGTGGTCATGTACAGGTCAGTGTTCAGTGATGCCTGTCTGTGTTTTGGAGAAGAGTGACTTCAGTTTGCAGGAATATATATGCTCTGTGTGTGATGAATTTGTGCCTTTTATAACTGTAGCATTTTTCTCAAGTGCCTCTGTGGTGACTGTCTCCCTTGGTTTCCTTAAGTTCCCTTTTCAAGAGGCTCTGCAGATATTTTTATCTGACAGCTGTGAACTTTTTTTAACCTTAATTAGAATCAATAAATATTGTCATGTCACATTTCCTGTTTGAGGCTTTTCTTCTGTGGAAGCCCCTTTTAACTTGATTGTGATAGTGAGTATTACTTAGTAACAGAATGCTTTGTATTTCATACTGAAGCTGGTGAGGTGTGTTAAGCTTTTGTCAATAAAGCAAGCTCTGGAAAGAAGGAGAGAAGGATAAAAAAGCCAAGCAAACCCAAAAGAGCTAAAAAAACACTCCAAACCTCAAAAAAAAAACAAAAAAAAAAACAAAAAAAAAAAAAACACAACACCAAACCCAAACACCAAGAAAATGGTAATAATTCTTGCTAACATATAGGTGGCCAACTATTTTACACCTAAGAATTAGTTTTTATTGCTGTAGGTGGATTTGGAGTGTCCCCATCGTGAGCACACCTCTTTTGCAGCACCTTCTTTACCATGAGCAGGGACATGTTTTACAGCTGCTCAAGGGTGAGTGATATGGGGCTGCAAATGAACAGGGGAAGAAACAAACCTTGTACCAAATACTGTGTGGTGCAAACATAAAAGTAAGAGAGACAAAAGTCACTGGCTTAGTTTCATCCAGCAGCTCAGTGTCAGTGCTAGAGAGATAATGTAACTGAAGAACAAATTCGGCCTTGGGAAGGGACCTGTGTTTGACAAAAATGTAGC